TGTGTCACCTAAGGCTCTCGCAGCATAATGTACAACTCAATAGAGTCGTACCCAGAATACACATGGCTGGAAAACGTATTCTAAAGATCCTCTTCATCTTGAACCTCAACCTTATAAATATTATTTGGTTGTTTCCAAAAAAAATGGATTCTGATAAAATATATGTGTCACCGGGCCTCGTCCAAGTTTGGCCTCCAATCGTTTTTTGAAGTACGAGAAGTTGGCTTTCCCGTTTAAAAGAAATCGGATGTTGTCTGTATCTCTAAACAAAAACCCAGAGGTGGGACAAATGTATGTCTCACTGTTGAAATGTGCATTGATGACATATTGGGGTGCAGAGACCATTGCGTAGGGTTGTTTGAAGGTTTGAAGGTTGGAATGTTTGAAGTGTATGAGTTATAAGAATGTTTGTATGTTTGATTGTTTGAAGGTTTGGAGGTTTGATTGTATGAAGGTTTGAAGGTTTGAAGGTTTGAAGGTTTGAAGGTTGGAATGTTTGAAGTGTATGAGTTATAAGAAGGTTTGTATGTTTGATTGTTTGAAGGTTTGATTGTATGAAGGTTTGAAGGTTTGAAGGTTTGAAGGTTGGAATGTTTGAAGTTTATGAGTTATTCGAAGGTTTGTATGTTTTGATTGTTTGAAGGTTTGAAGGTTTGATTGTATGAAGGTTTGAAGGTTTGAAGGCTTGACAGATTAAGTGAATAAGTGTTTTGATAAATGTAAGACTAAATAGGTCATACTGAATTTGAATTAAGTAAGGATGTAACCCCCAAGGCTGCCACCTAGCCTGCGCCTACTCTACACCTACACTGTAACTTATAAGTCTCCTCCCATCACCTCCAATAGTGTTACATGCATTCAGGCATGGCATCCCCAAGGCTGTCACCTAGCCTGCGCCTACTCTACAACCCATCACACCTCTTATTCTCCAATGGGGATGGCGACACCTTTCATTTTTGTACTCTTTCGCCAAGTCCAATGGCACCTCCCTTAAAGTCCAATCGTGTTACATGCATGCAGAGATGTAACCCCCAAGGTTTCCACCTATCATGTGCCTACTCTGCACCTACACTGTAACTTGTAAGTCTCCTCCCATCACCTCCAATAGTGTTACATACATTCAGGCATGACTTCCCCAAGGCTGTCACCTAGCCTGCGCCTACTCTGCAACCCATCAAACCTCTTATTCGCCAATGGGGATGGCGACACCTTTCATTTTTGTACTCTTTCGCCAAGTCCAATGGCTCCTCTCTTAAATTCCAATCATGTTACATGCATGCAGAGATGCCTTCTCCAAGGCTGCCACCTAGCTGCGCCTACTCTGCACCTACACTGTAACTTGTAAGTCTCCTCCCATCACCTCCAATAGTGTTACATGCATTCAGGTATGGCATCCCCAAGGCTGTAACCTAGCCTGCGCCTACTCTGCAACCCATCACACCTCTTATTCGCCAATGGGGATGGCGACACCTTTCATTTTTGTACTCTTTCGCCAAGTCCAATGGCGCATCCCTTAAAGTCCAATCGTGTTACATGCATGCAGAGATGCCTTCTCCAAGGCTGCCACCTAGCCGCGCCTACTCTGCACCTACACTGTAACTTGTAAGTCTCCCCCCATCACCTCCAATAGTGTTACATGCATTCAGGCATGGCATCCCCAAGGTTGTCACCTAACCTGCGCCTACTCTGCAACCCATCACACCTCTTATTCGCCAATGGGGATGGCGACACCTTTCAATTTTGTACTCATTCGCCAAGTCCAATGGCGCCTCCCTTAAAGTCCAATCGTGTTACATGCATGCAGAGATACCTTCTCTAAGGCTGCCACCTAGTTGCGCCTACTCTGCAAGAGTGACACTTATCACGCATTCATGCACCAGCTACCACCTCACTTACTCTATGAAAATTTTTTGCCTATAAATACAGAGCATAACATACTTCTCTCACACCCACAATCGTCTCACTCTCTGCTACAAAGTCTTTTATAATCTCTTACACTTTCTAAGTATTTCATAATCTCAGGCGCTTTCAACAATGGCTCTTCTCACAATGGGCGATTCTCACAGAGGCACAAGGGACAACATTGTCGCATTTGTAAGTTTCTATTTTGGTTATACATTTTTTATACTTTAGGTAATGCTTTGTTCATCTTACTTAATCTTACACCTTTTACATTATTAACACAGGATACCAAAAGATTCAGGATCCTGTCTCACAACTACCTGGCTCCCGACCCATTTATCGTACCATATCTGGAATATACAGGTTTCAGACATGTTATAAAGATCTCCAACTGCACAATTGATTCGAAGTTCATTCTTGCAATGTTGGAAAGGTGGAGACCAGAGACCCATACATTTCACCTACCAATAGGTGAATGTACCGTCACGCTAGAGGATGTGTACATGTTACTGGGTCTCCCTATCGACGGTAAGGCTGTTAACGGGTCGGTTCAACAACCCAATTCTCAGTGTGAAGAATTGTTGGGCAGGGATATGGTTGAAGGTGGTGGTGCGAGAGGTCAGGGTATACTACTCACTGAGCTTAAAAGTCATTATGCAAGTTTGGAATTAAACGAAAATTCCTCTGAGCAAGACAGGGTAGTAAAATTCAGAACTTATCTAATGATACTATTTGGAACCTTTTTATTTCCCGAAAGTACGGGAAATAGTGTAAATTTTATGTATTTACATTTACTTAGAGATTTTGAAAAAACAAGAAAGTATAGTTGAGGTTCTGTAGTTTTAGCCCACCTATACAGTTCCTTGTGCAAAAATGCAGTCAAGGAAAAATGTACATTTTATGGCTGCGCTTTTTTACTACAAGCCTGGGGTTGGTGGAGGATGGAGTCCTTAAATCCCGTCAACAACAACACTTTCGTTTTCCCATACGCAACAAAGTAAGTCATCAAGTTATATCATTTATTACTATTCATCTCTTCACCAAATATATGCTAAAAATAAAATATTTTTCATTTCCTTTAGGTATTGCGTGAGGGGTATAGATTACGGCAAGAATCCAAGATTCAATGTCGCACTATACCGCAATCTGTTGGATCACCTAGGCCCGAATGATGTACGTCGTACCTTTCAACTTTTCTTCATTTAAATTATTTATATATTACGTTTTCATTAACCTGATTTAATTTTTTTCACAGTTTGTCTGGAGACCATATTTGGGTTTGGGCCATGAACCAAACCCCGAGGATGCAGCAATTTGGAGCGCCAAGACTACAATCATACGGTTCAATGTTGTGGAGATGCACCATAACGACCGTGTGAAGATGCAGTTCAGAATGCATCAAGAGATACCAAGTGATCCGACTTGTTTGTCCCCGTGGCATCTCAAAAGGGTCAACGCCCAGTGGGGTCTTACCAACTAGAAAGACTTTGCTCCAGAATGGTGTAAGATGTGGCAGAGGCATCACCGACATGTCTTGCAATTCCCGGTTTTCCTCAATCATGGTAATATGCGACACACGAATCAATATTTATCTTGGTACATGTCAGTTAGTAACCCTGAAATGCACGTGTCTCATCCAAGGTATTTGGTTGACCCACGAACACAATGGGCACAACCCTCGTTTCCCCAACAACAAACCCAACACACATCAACCTCTCACCAACCCCCCAGACGAAACAGAACCACAAACACCCAACCACAGTCCCCACCACAACACAATTACACCCAAATGCCCCACAACCAACCACAATCACCACCTCAGTACCAATACCCCCATATGCCTCACACCCAACCGCAATACCAATCACAATACCAACACACCCGCATACCCCAGACACAATTTCAGTCTTCTGTATATCCCAATATGGACCCCTCAACATCCAGCCTTAGCCCTGATCTGGGAATGTCGGAAGATTACGAACCAACCGACCCAACTTACCATCAACCACAGTATCACCAAACCACCCAACATCTTCAATACCAAACACCCAAAGATCCATTTCCTTTCTACCCCCCGTACTCAGACGATCAATGCTACAGACCCACCATGGAACCCCACCCATCGCCAACACGACCAAACTTTGAGGGTATGGGTAACCGACTGTACCAAAGCGGATCTTCTAGATATGGAGATCTGACTGATTTCATGGATCTGGAACGCATTGACTTCGCTGGGCCATCGACCCTGTCACAGTAGGAAACGCGACGACACCCAACACAGGAAAGGCGAGGACGGGGATGCGGAACCGGGGGTCATTACCGGGTTCCGGAGGATCACTGATTTATCTGTTTTTTTATCTGTTTTTTTAATGTAATACATTTGGGTGTAATCATTTTTTTTATAATAAAAAGTCAATTTTATTGATCATGTATTGAATACGCAACGCACTGGACTGAAAAAAAAAGCGAAATTTGCCCTAGAATTGCACTAAGGCGCCATCTCACTTGGCTTAGGGCACGCCCTAAGCACCTAGGCGCCAAGTGAGATGGCGCCTCCCCTTAAATAATGGGAGTAGACGCCAAGTGAGATGGCTCCTCCTTTGGAGAGTCATCTGAAACATGATTATTTGCGTAATTTTTTCTGAAACGTGATTTTTTGCGAAATTTTTTTTAATACATGATTATTAAAAAAAAAAATTCAATATTATGATCACTTTGATTTTGTTATATTTATAAAAAACAATTAACTCGAGTATTGTCAAGTTGTTCGAAGATTTATATATTTTTTATTTAACAATATTGAATTTGTGTTGTTTTCATTGTATTTTATCTATAAAAGTTAATGGATATATTTTTTTAATGAAAAATAAAATAAAATAATTACTAACATTGTTTTAATGACATATGTAATCCTGTTATTAAGCCGGTTGGTTTTATCACTAAGTATAAACAACAACAACAAAAACACATATTTCAACTTTGGAATGTATGTATATAATTGGACACCAACACAAATATGCGAGACAACCAAAACAACTCTTCCACTATAATATTGTTGTCATTGAATAATCAATATTTCTTTTTAAGAAAACATCACCATGGTAGAGATTGATCCAGATTTCATTCAACCACCAGAGCGCAGACCAAAGCCAAATGTCATAGAAGCTGAAAACATTCCAGTTATAGACCTATCACCTATACTAGACAATTCCAACAATAATATTGAGAAAAACCCTTTAGTTTATGATGAGCTTGTGAGGAAAATAGGAAGTGCATGCAAGGAGTGGGGTTTTTTCCAAGTGATAAACCATGGAGTTCCTATTGAAAGTAGAGAGAGAACTGAATTTGTTGGGAAGAAATTCTTTGGTCAAAAAATGGAGGAGAAGAAGAAAGTTAGAAGAGATATGGTGAATGTTATGGGATATTATGAATCTGAGGTTACTAAGATGGTTAGAGATTGGAAGGAAGTGTTTGATTTTACTTTTGAGGAACCTACTTTGATTCCAGCTTCAATTGATCCTGATGATAAAGAGGTTGCTCATTGGTATAATCAATGGCCAGAGTTTCCACCAGAGATGAGGTACATTTACTTTAAAATTTCTTAACCATAACATCAAAGGAATATATGTTTTTATAATTTAAAATTTTATGTAAACATAAATAAAATATAATTAAAAATAATATTATTAAATTAATTCTCATCCTAACTATGCATAGTTATATTATATAAAAAAGTATTTATACAGAAATAAAAGACAAACAGATAATAAAATTGCGCCGCCACTCTTTTATGATTGATTAATTTGTATATGTCTTACAGAGATATAATTCGAGAATATGCTCAACACATGAAGAAACTATCAATCAAGATAATGGAACTTATCGCTGTGAGTTTAGGATTACCCTCAGAAAGATTTAACGATTTCTTCAAAGATGAAACAAGTTGGATAAGACTCAACCATTATCCACCTTGTCCTAATCCTAACATTGTTTTAGGATGTGGTCGCCACAAAGATACCGGTGCTTTAACTGTTCTTGCTCAAGATGAAGTTAGTGGACTTGAAGTCAGGATAAAATCTGATGGTGAATGGCTTCTCGTTAAGCCTTTGCCTAATGCTTATATTATCAATGTTGGAGACTTAACTCAGGTACCAAGAACCGCATCAGAGATTTTAGAGTATGTTTGAATAAAGTTTATGAACCCTAATAAGAAAACTTGCTTTATATTTGTTCAGGTTTGGAGCAATGATGCATACGAGAGTATTGAACACAGGGTGATTCTGAACACTGAGAAAGCGAGGCTTTCGTATCCATTCTTTTTGTTTCCAGCACACTACACCATAGTGGAGCCTTTGAAAGAGCTCATAAATGATGAAAACCCTCCAAAATATAAACCTTATAATTGGGGCAAGTTTTTAGTTGCTAGAAAGCGTGGCAATTTCATGAAACTTGATGTTGAGAACATCCATACTGGTCATTTCAAGATTACTTAGATATATCATTTTGCTATAATGCTGTCATCAAAAAGGTGTTGTATTTGGAAAAGGAGCCATGAATTAATAATGTGTTATATATACCTTTATCGAGCTAGGTGTGTATGAATAAGGCTCTACATGAACAAGTGTTACCAAAATGTATTAGCTTAAATAGGGAGCCAATACTTCAATTTCAAAGTTTTTAAGGTTCTGTTTGTATGATGTTATTTTGAAAAATATATATTATGAGACACTATTCCGAATATTTGTGGATGTCCAATTTCTCTATGTTTTTTATATTCTATGCTATCCTATATATTAATATAGCATGGTGATGACAATTGTTGTAGATCATTCATACACTTATTGGTGATTGAATTTGTGTTATATAAATAAGATTAATTATGTAAGAATTTTGGGTTACATATGTAATTGTTAGGAGAAAATCCAGAATACAACAAAATAATTGAACAATATAATCTCTCTTAAGTATTAAATGTAATTTAGAGACAATCAATAAAAAAAATAAAATCAAACAACACAACATAATTTTAGCGTGGAAAAATCTCAGTTATCTAAGAGTAAACATGTGATCCGTAGACTATTTAATATCTCCACTATAATCAACAATGGATAGAGGTAAGGTTCTTTCTAACACTAGTTAGATACATACATAAACATCATCAAGATCTACAATCAATCTTGAAATACAACAAGAATCAAGAGAGACAAATAGATCTAAAAAACACCAAAAATTCGCACCTCAAAGATTAACTCGACATACAAACATAGAAAGCTCAGAATTCAATCTCAACCATTCAGAATTTGCTCATATGAGTCATGAACACTGTGTCAAAATTTCAGGATGATCCGACTTTTGGATTGTGAGAAAACTCGAATTTTCTAGAACTAATTTGTGCAGAAAATGAGGCTGCGAGAATAATGTTTTATCTCTAGTTTTTCTTGTTGTTTCTCTCACACAATGAATGAATAACCTAATTCTCTTTGTTGGATAATAACAAAATCTTACCCACACATGACCCACTAACCCACGTCCGTTTGAGTCACTCCAAAATTGGAGAGAAAGCCCAATAAACACTCATGACTGACTAGTTGGAGGACAATACCAATTCGGCTTTCATACGAAAAAATTCAAACTTTCCTCGAGGCAACATCTTTGTTAACATATCTAAACCATTGTCATCAGTGTGAATTTTCTCAAGCTCCATCAACTTGGAATCTAATGCATCATGAATCCAATGATATCAGACATCAATATGCTTCGACCTCGAGTCAAATGAGGAATTCTTTGATAAGTGAATGACACTTTGATTATCACAAAAAAGACATAATTTTCTTATTTCACACCAAGTTCCATGGAAAATTTCCTCAAACATAACAACTCTTTTGACGCTTCCACGAAGGCTATAAACTCAACTTCAATAGTAGAGGGTTCAACGCACTTTTGCAACTTTGATTGTCAAGCCATGGCTTCCCCAGCAAAAGTACCATATACCCCAAGGTGAATTTTCGATCATCCAAGCTTCTGGATAGATCTGAGTATGTATATCCAACCAACATAAGCTTATTACATGTCAAGGTTATCACAGAACTGGTGACTCTGCTGAGGATACGGTGGCAGAATCAACTGTTAAATACTGGTTTTGTATTTGTGTTTGCAAATGTTGCGGTAAGCAAGAGTCGCCACCGGCTTTTCTTTTATCCAAATTAAGGAAAGGGTGAAAAGAATAGAAAAATACCTTTTCTAGATTTTCTGAGTAAGGGGGATAGATTATGGAAAGGGAAGGTGTTAGCACTCTTTCCATCCGTAGTTCTCTACGGGCTCTTAGTTGCTTGCTAGTTCACTTTGCTTTTGTTTGAAAATATGCTTGTGGTGTGGGTTTAAAAATATTTTGAAAACGTCTTTGTAATGATTCTCGTCTCTATAAGAATGCGTACAAAGTGTTGGTTTTGAAAATAGTTCAAAGAAGTATTTGTGGAAGATGTTTTTGAAAGTGATTTTGAAAAGTGCCTTTTTAATGATTCTCGTCTCTATAAGAATGCGTACAAAGTGTTGGTTTTGAAAATAGTTTAAAGAGGTGTTTGTTTGTGAAAGATGTTTTTGAAAGTGATTTTGAAAATTGCCTTTGTAATGATTCTCGTCTCTATAATAATGTGTACAAAGGACTTTGACTTTTGAAAATGTTTCAATTGAAAGTGTTGGTGTGTAAATGGTTTTTTTTTGTTATGAGCAAGCAAGCAACTACGAGCGTCCTACCTACTTAAAAGGTCTAACATTCTTTTCCTCCTCCTTTAGATGTTGCTATCTTACCATTGATTTTGTAAGAAGCCCCGTCGTTAGATGTATGAGGGACATCGAAGGGACATACAGTCATAAAGGCAACAATGTAGAGACGCTTTAGCAATTTCTGTTTAGGGACTAGATCATTTACCGAAAGGAAATTGTAGGGTCATCGAGGTACTAAGATCTTTTGGTTTATGGGTCTTTGCTAAAGTGTACCTGTATCGAGAGACATGACTATTTTATTTCCGAAGGAAACCAAAGTGGGGTATCGTAGAGGTGTATATGTGCAAGTGTGTTATGTTCAGTTATTTTTTTGTCTTTTGTGTTAGGTTTGATAGCGTTTGATTTTAGTCTTTTCCATACAATTATATTAATCATACATCTAGCAGTTAATATGAAAAGCAATAAAATGCAGAAAGTAAGGGTCCTACGTTATTACAACCAAATCGAAAGACAAGAAAAATGTAAAAACAAAGCACAAAAATAAAGGAGAGAAATGAATTCTTCTATCCAGGCCATGGATTCCTTCGATTCGCCCGTCTTTTTCCTTGTTTCAATTGGACTTGAGAATTGATATGAGCAAGCTTCGTTTTACACCTTTTCTACCTCCTTCGACTGGGTTCGGGAATGGTATGGGCAGCCTTCGATTGCAACCTTCTCCACTTCTTTCGACTGAGCTAGGGAGTAGGCATGAGTGACCTTCGACTCCAAACTCCTATGCTTCTTTCGATTTAGACTATGAAATAACATAGACCTGCAGAGCAGCATGAGTGCATATCCTTCGTTCACACTCTTTTTGTCTTTCGTTTGAATCTGTACAGATTGGTTCCAACAAGAAAAGAAAACAAGCCCAGAGGGCAGAAACGAAGAACACAACCAAGAGGCTATTCATATATTATGATGAAACGAAAAGTAAGTACAAGGCTATTTACATGTCATGCTGAAATGAAAGATGCAAGATCAAGGGGACTTACCTTGCTTAAAACTGGAACTTGTGTAGGGGACTGGAGTTGCTGGATGCCCTTGGATTCAAAAGGAGAGGGAACAAGTGTGGTGTGATCTTTTTGAGTTTTAAGAGTTTTTTTTTGGTGTGCTTCTCTTAGGCTGTGTATGTGTAAAACAATCCGTGTGTATGGTTCCCCTGGGCTTATGTCTCTCTCTTTATGTGTATGTATGTGGTCTTCTTATATAGAGGGGGTGGATGGGACAAGAAGGCAAAGGAGTAAACAACCATTAAGTTGGTGTTTTAAGGCCATGAATACCATTTTGAAATGTTGCAAAAGACATGGTTTCTTGTCCCTTTTTGAATTTGAATGAACTTGGACATATTTGGCTCCTTTGAATACCTTCTGTCCCTGCCCTTCGATTGGCCTCAAGTTGCCTCCTTCAACTGGCTTTGTTTCACTTTTATAGTTCCTTCGATTGAGTCTGTCCACCTCAATTCGAATTGCTCAGGTCTTGATTCGAATTATATAAGGCCTCAACATCATGGCTTCTTCGATCAGCCCCTAAGCTCACTTTCTTCGATTTCCCTGACCTTACTCAACCAGCCCAATTGAAAGACTTTACTCTGGCTAGTTGAAGCTACCTTTGGCAGGAATGTGCCTGTACAGGGGCTTGGGCTTGGCAATATGCAGGATTTTGTCCAGCAAGCATCTTGGACCAAAAATCACCATAAAGACAACTTGTCTTTAATAATCATGTGTCCTTCAAATGAACCAGTGAATGCTTCTTCGAAGGGACCACATGAATATGCCTTCGAAGGGACTATCATGCATGTCAAAGTGTGAACAAAAATTTCAAGGGGACCCTTGCCCAGTCTAATCTTGCACAACGGAAGCCAATGCCTTGTGGGCGCTAGCATGAGACAGGTCAAAGAAAGCGTAAAAGAGGCCATTGCCTAGTGACTCAGAATATACATGCAGGAGGCCACTATTTGTGGATCGAAGGGCATTTTTAGGGGATTCTATCCTAAATGAAACTTGGACTAATGCTTGCTCAAAATGGTTTTAGGTGCTTAGTCGAAGCTTGCAAATATGCCAATCCAAGGACACTGCTCTGATGTACCAATCGAAGGACACTTCTCTGATGTGCCAATCTAAGGACACTGCTCTGATGTGCCAATCGAAGGAAATTATTCAGATGGCAATCGAAAGACCCTTTGCTATAATTCAAAATTTCATTTTTATTTAGGTAAGCGTTTGTAACCAACCATGTAAAAGAAACCTTGGGAAACATGAGAGGGAAAATTTTCTGGTACAATAGCTACCCCTGTTCAATCTTCTTAAACCTGAAGATGTAGATTGGCTTGTCTTCCTTTCGTGATCTGAAGATGGAAGATGATTGAACACTAGAGTGCCCAGAAATTTGCACTCGCATGAAATAACACTGATGGTTGACGATGTCGGGAATGGGCTTACAAATGCCATTTAGAGAAGATGATAGAGAGTTATCAGAGATGGGTTTAAAGATACCATCCAAAATAGATGCTGATTTCACACATGGTCCCCTGTTCCTGCTGTTTGAGGAGGAGTCCGCTGGGAAATGTGGGTTTCTGTTGTTCTCCTGTTTGAGGAAAACTCTGTGGGGGAATAAAGTCTAGGAACATCATTTGTCCATTACTCTACTGGGGAAGCTACCTCTTGACTGGAGAAATGAAAGTTCGTTGGTTTCTGGTCAAAATCAAGGCTTCATAGTAATCTACTAGGGAATA